GCTGCGTTGCTGACTGTTACCTTCATCGTTTTCTTGACGACGCGAGGTAGGCAGCCAGGTCGCAGAAGTTGAGCGAGGCGTAAGGGGGATCTTTTTGCCGACATTTCGCATTGCGTCTCAGGTCCACAGCAGTCATTGCGGCCCTTGGATGCCCAGGCGACAACACCGCCGGTATAGCGTTTAATAACATCGATACCACGAAGGACGGGTGGTTAAGTTTTATGGGAGACCTCGCCGCGGTTCCCAACCCTCCTCCTTTTTCATCCGGGCTCTTGATTGTATTCAAGATTGTTTCATATTGCGTTTGTATGGAGGTTGATACCCACGTCAAATCTGGAGGCGGAATTTTGCATTCTTACAGAATACCGCTATTTTAAGAAGGAGACTTAAGTCTGTGAACAAGAGTGCGAGTCACAGCCATAATAAGGACCTATTTGAAAACGAAAGACTAAATTTTCAAGGTACCATCTAATCTGTGGAGTATGATTGAACATATCTTCTCCTGTACACTGGTTTACACATGATCTCCATTTCACATTTTTTTGCTTGCTCTTTGAGATAAAATCAATGGCGCCTGATCATGGAAGCACGTTGATTGAAAAGTGCCATCAGCTGTTTAAAATTAAGTGGAAAATTGCTGCAGGAAAAGGTGAAACCCAGTTAGACCAGGAATCGATCAGACATCGCTCAATGCTCAATAATTCCGTAATCATTTTGTGACTAAGTCAGTTTATAGGCAGATCATTATACTTCCTAGTCATCGATTTGACCAATCAGAGAAATGAATTCAAAATCCGGGTCACTCTTTCAGTGGTTAACTAACAGCCTCTCGGAAACAAGGTTTTAGAACCGTTCCATAATCCTTAAACGCGTAGAGGAATATTTAATTGGACCATAGATTCATGCGTGAGTTATTGAGATGTATAAATGTAACTCATATCAAGGATGCGGATTACGGCAATTTCACTGTTGACAAATAAAGTGTCTCTCTGGACAACAAAGCGATGCTGTAGGCAACTATGTACTGCAAATGATCAATAGTGACATTCAGCCGAAGCCTGTTTAAATGGTTCATGAATAGTTAAGGACAACGAAGCGTGTCACATGCTGTTAACCGTGCATGGTTTCAGAGGAGGTATTGGATTATTAATATACGTGAATGTAGGGATGTATATTTACCATTAAATTATGACTACATAACGAGGATTTAGATGAAAGCGATAAAATAACAGAATCATACTCTTTGATGCCGTTGGCTCCTTTAAAGGCTGAGGCGCCCCAAACTGTTGGAAAATGCTGGGAAAATCTGTTCCAAAACCGCTCCGTCAAATAATAGTCAATCGATGGACCGTAGATCCACACCACTGGCTGCACGTGTTGGTCCAATTTATATTTATCGAAAAGATTGTCGCTGACATTATCCAACATGTCGTGCCAGATCAGCGTCTTTTTTCCATGCTTCTCGTAAATGTATTCAGCCAAGACTTGGATGCGGTTCAGTAAAAGCTCTGAAGGTAGCAGCTTCTTTTGGTTCATGGTCGAAACACACCTTCTGCACTGTCCAATCTAAACAGTTTGCAATAAATAAAGGTTCGTTCGTCTTTAAACCTGTGCAATAATATGAAGACGGAAAGCAATATGAAACAGAACAGTTTATTTGTACACAGCGCAAACAAAACAGTCAATAATCCAATTATGAATTATGAAATACTCAATCGTGTAATATAAAAATTATGATGCAACTGACAGAATGTCATCTTAATCAAAAAGTCGTTCATGTTAGTAAACACGAATTAAAGAAAGGTCTTTTGTTGCAAAGTAGGATGCATCTTTCACCTTCAACTATGGTGTGAGACATATGCAATATTAAGTGTTGACTTGATGTGCGCTTCAGTACCTCGGTACCGTAGAAACTCATATCATAAACAATAACTTAATAATGCCAGAACAGATCTTCAGGTCAAACAGTGGTTGTGATTCATTTAATAAAATGAAGATTACTCATCACTTGCGAACTTTTGATGCCCCTGTTGTGTGACGGTTTGAGAGAATAAGGAATGTTCGTACACGCCCCTATCAAACACGATTTCGTGGAGGCAGTGGATGTGCTGATTAGGTATTCTTCTTTCGCTGAATGCAGAAATATGTCCCACATTATCAGGAACCTACTGTAATTCGCTTGGTAGATGTTGCAGCTGCCTTCGATTCCATACACAGAGAGTCTCTGTGGCACATAATGTGACTTCATTACGTTCGACCGAAGTTAAATAGGCAAATCAGAGTACTATACAGCCAAATCGCATTTTTCGGTTCCACCGTATGAAAGAGAGACTTTTGACATACTTTAGGAATCTGTCACGATTGTCATCGATTGGACACCACGTACCCCACTCGCAGGCAACAATGTTGCAGAGATCCCCCCAACTAGTAACACTGATAGACCTACGTGGATGGCATTTCGTTATTGTAACGGTGGACCATATTGAGATTCAAAGAATCTTTCGTCATATCGATCACATTGCATCGCATATTGGACTGAACATCAATCAGTCAATTAAATATCTTCTCTTCAGGCAACCCGAAGAGTGACAAACAGTCAATCTGTCCTGCTTCAGCCACCATCGAAGAAACTGGCTTTTACCAGTAGCTCTTCATCTGCCTCATGCTGTCAAACGATCGGTCAAAACACGAAATCTCTGCTGCTCTACAGTTGCAGCAAGATTACTCTTCAAATTCTACAGTCCTATCTTAAGGCGACGATAAATTAGCTCTTGAATTACGGCGAACGTATTTAGACATGCGATCGTTCCAATTACAAAATACGGAGCCAATCTACTTCCCTAAACGTGACCCAGGTGTAATGGTCCATGTTGTTGGGGTCTACAAAATGGACGGCTTTACTTGATAATCTGGAGATGAATGTATCGCTGGGAAGTTGTCGTTGAAAAATAGCGTAAACCACGGTTTACTTATACACAACGCAAAAGATACCGTGGTCAGTCCAGTGACTGACCAATACCTTCGTCTGCGGATCTAACGGGGCTTCTTCAAGGTGAAGTTCCGTGAATGTGGTTGATCGATAGTTTCGAAACCAGAAGGCAAGATTTCATTCGGTGCTGCTGGTTAAATAGTTTATGGATGTCAGGCTCATCCAATCCGCAACTTGGGAGATGGCAGTGCTGAATCGGGGACCCAGCGCTAATTTGTCTTGTTCAGTTTCCATAAACAATACTTTTCTCAGATTCACTATTGGCTGTAACGAAAATCCGGATCTAGCCATATCCGAC